CTCACAACATTCTATGATTCTATGATATATTATTACATAAATTAATCTGAAACATGATGCTGAAAGTAACCATGAAGGTACTGCTCTGGCAGTTACAGCACTTCTGATCTATTCACCTCTGGAATAGAACTCCAATTGCCATGTATTATAATTGCTTTTTATAGGGCTCTGTCCCCTTTACTTTTTATCTCTGTTGCAGTGGAATTTGTGTGTTAAAGTGCAACAAAAACACCCAACGATTTTTCTAACTTGTTACTACCAGGACTCTTTCTGACATCCATAACGTACTTGCAATGGACACAAGTTGTGGCCATGGTTTTCATATTTACCCCAAATAAAAGAAAACTCTCTCTAAGGGACTCAATGAAAAAAGTAGAGTGGCTTTCTACAGAAGTGTGTCACACTACAACTTGTTCTACCCCGCCTGGACCAGTGTTCCCAGTGTAGCATAATTGTTTTGTTTACTGAATGGCTTAGCAAAAGGAAGCCTTATCTTTTCAGTTAGTAAGAACTTGACAACAAAATTAATCCAAGACTGTAATTTGCTTGCTACCTTAAAGAAGTCAAAGAAGCCCATCAGCTGCACCTTTCCCAGCTCTTTTTCTCTTTCTCTGAAGAAGAAATATCCTGTTATTCCAGCATCTAGTAGTTCTGGATTTTCCTTGGATAACTTGACAAGATGGAGACGTTCTTCTCGGCTGTCTCGACCTCTAAATAAAGCTCGCTCAGTTTTGTTTTCCCAGAATGGGCCTACAAACATTAAGTGATAAGATAAAAGTAAATAGTAAAGAAATGTCCATGATATGTTTAGTGCCAATAAGGAACTTGCTATGACACTCTCTGAGTGGCATTACACTCAGAGACACGGTAAAACAGGTATGATTTCTTGTGGTGAATCCATAATCACTCATTAATCACAAGGTTTAAACTCCAAGTTCTGGCTTGAATTTTGGGATGAGAAACTGAGCCACTTATAAAAGGAAAATCAGATAATTGCTTTTCCACTCAACAATTTTATATTTAAATAACTTGAAATATCTTGAAAGCTACATAAGAGATTATAATCAAATTATGTAAGTAAAATACTAATAATTAAAGTAATTCTCTGTCCATAAAGCCTGCCACAATAAGCAAAATTTCTTTAGTAAAATCCACTTCTGTTACCCAGCAATTTAGCTAGTTCTTTGAGGAACCACTTAGTGATGACATAAAAAGGAAAAAAAACAGCTATACTGTGTCCTCAAGATACTTAGCAAGAGCCTGAAAGACTTAATCGCTGCTTACTGCCTGCTTTTAAAAACATTAAATATGTCCTTCCTCATTCTTAAGCTGGAAATTTCCTCAAAGGACCTACTAAAGCGGAGTAAGCTCTTATCGTGCCCTAACTGGAAAAGCAGCTGTAGTAAATCAGTAAATACAGAGTGCTTCAAACTGATAATTTATTTTAAATATTTAATTTAAAGACTAATAAAGAAATGAGAAACTGTGAACCAATAAAATAAAAAGAAACAGCTCCTCACTCAAGTTGTATTCCTTAGGTATTGTTCATGCCGTCTGTTTAATCCCTAAGTATTCATTAATTTCCTGGGGGAGTTAGACACCTGTCAGTAAAACTGACTCTTTCTTCAAAGCTAGAAAAACAGTTCAGAAGATCCCACTCTCAGGTATTTTTTTAATACTGACAATATTTTTTTACTTGAAAGAGGCTGCAGCATAGTACTAGGTTACTTGTTTCAGGATTCAAATTCATTTTTATGTAAAAAGAACATTGGGCCACATCACTGTCAGGCAAAAGAATACTGTTTGATTAGAAGGAACATATTCAAGTCCTCCACTGAAGGCCTTTAAATTTACTTTTCTTTTGACAGGTCACAGTCACTATCTTCTGGATACCTTTAAGTTACAATTCACCATTACTGTAAACTGGACTTCTTAAATTTTGGCTCTAAATCCATATTAAACACCTGCTCAGTAGCAGCGTTGAAAGTGTTTACAGTCTGTAAAGACTAACCTGTTGTATTGAGAGACCTCCTAGGGCACTTGTGAACTGAAGAGTTTTAACACTTTTAACTTGCTTCTTTGATGGAATTTACAAATTCTCTTTTGAAATCCATGATCTCTAATTTACCTGTATTTCCTTGAATAGAAAGGAGATCATTTGTGACACCACGTAGGGTTTCAAGAGTTGAGTGGGTTACATCATATGTTGGAAGGACTATATCTCTTGAATCCACAGAGCCACACCATGAAATGATAGGTATAGGACCAGGTGTATCATTAGCTTTCCGATATTCAACTGGCCAATCTCCAACATTAAGATAAAACTCCACGTCAGGAAGACGAACCTAAATGTATACCCAAGAAAGGACAGTAACACAAAGACAGAAGCTGTTTGTCACTCTCACATATATTCTTCAGTTCTCTTACGTCATGCAGAATCAGCAAACCTACTAGATGATACAGATTTAGCTGAGCTTAAGGTATGAATTTCAAGTTTCTGCCTTGCAAGCAGGTATGAAAGGACACTTATAGATGCCAGGAAAAGGATCACAGAGTCAGGCTTAGCCCCTGCAGCTTTCCTAGCAATTTCATTACTATCAAGCTCAAACCCCACACATTAGTTACAGCCTGATCCTTAAAGAGATACTATCATCTTGATGAAAAAACAGAAGTAAAATCTTACTTCAGGAATTATAAATCTGAAGATAAGACAAATGCAGTGTTGCCATATTAGAATGTGACTCAGTAGTCTTAAATGACTGAAATGGATTACCTTTCTTGCCAGTGACAGGAACATTTCATCGGAGAACATTTTGAAGTCTGTATACTTCCCCAAGGAACGACGGTAGATATGATTATTGAGAATAGTGTAATGAACGATAGCACCTCTTGTTTGACTGAACTTGGCTGGGATTTCCTTAAGCATTCGCTGAAGGTCGATGGTGGGAAAAGACATGAAATCCTTTGTAATCTGAGGTTCTTGGGATGGACAAGACATAACGTTCTGCCAGATCTCAGGGTCTTCTTCAGGACAGTCACAATATTCATGATAAACTGGTCCTGCGCAAAACAAAGCACTGAGAGTTTATATTTGTGATTCTACATCAATAATAATTCCCCAAACACATGGGCATATAAATGCAGACATTACAGTGGCTTGACATTTTTTATTCCAAATTTTCTAAAGTTTTTCTGGGAAATCATCCTCCCAATAACATTTCTGGGGTGCAGCAGTGTAACTGAGAAAACAGCAACATTCTACTCTTCTCAGAAATCAAAATACTAGACTTTTTTTGTTATCAGGGTAAAATTCTGGTCAGAAGTAATGGTGAACTGAAACAAGACTCCAGATGAGTAACTTTATATTATTGTTTTCTTTGCTGAACAGCTATCCATTTGGGAGCAAGAGAGGAGGGTAAAGAAGCAGATCTGGAATGAGAGAATAATTTGCCTTGTTTTCCCTGGTTTTAAAACGTTATTCCAGTATAGCCCTGCACTGAATTCAACTGGGCTAATGGAAAGGAAGTTGAATATTGTCTGGTTAGAGAAATATTGTCTTTGTTGTTATGAAGGATCACACTTTTTAGAAATCATAGACATCTGAATTATAAAGTTTTGAGAACAACACAAACTCCTTGCTTTTGTAGGTAGTATTTTCTACTTTAGATAAAAATAACACAATGTTGAAGTTAATACTTGCTAAAACCAGTAAAAAAAAAAAGCATTGCTCTCTTATTCCTTACTAAATC